TCCTCCTCCTCCTCCTCCTCCTCCTCCTCCTCCTCCTCCTCCTCCTCCACTGACACCTCACTGAAACATCTACAGAGAGCCCTTTAACATATATATGAGGATTCTGATTTCCCTATTTTGAACCAGTCATGGGCAAAGCCTGGTCTCCTGATTTCAGCTCACTTGCATATTCATTATTTCAGCACAAATCCCTGAAAAAATTTGGAGCTGCAGGCTTCTTCTTAGACAAGGCAGCAAGTCTCCCTGAACACAGAGGGATTTCCTGTTGAGCAAGGATCGGATAACACTGTACTATTTGTTCTTTTATATATTTGTGGGAATATACATTGTCGGATTACCATACAGTTTACCATCTCCCTGCTCTAGCTTGGTGCTACAGTGGTACCTTTTTCTCTTGCTCCTTTCCTGAAGTTTGATCTGTGGATGAAGGAAGGATAAAGTTAATACTGACATTTTCAGTTATTAAAGAACGTCCATTGCCAGACACTTCCTGCGTATAGATAAGTTTCTTCTTCTTTTCCTTGAAAGCTGCTTACATGTCATGTATGCACAACTCACGTGGCTGATTTCTGACAGCAATCCTCTATTTCCTTCCTTGGGAGTCAATTCTACTGTACTCCGTGAGAGTTATTTCTAAGTTGGCATGTATAGGATTATACCGTTACTTATGTAAATGGCTTGGGGTTTTTTGTTTTTCTTTCTTTTTTTTTGGAAGCATATTAAATTATCCCATTCCATCAGAGCTGTGTAAACACTTATGGGTGTAGTTGTTCTTTTATCCTTCACACAAATACTTGGATTTGTGAGCGAATCGCAAGTGACCTGTATTCCTTATACTGCATGCCTGTTTTATGCATATCTGGCTACTTCTGTCAACTTTGCAAGCTGGCAGCGAGGTCTATCCATCGCATTGCTGTTGGAGATTTCAAGATGTTGCAGCTTGCTTGTTTCAACAGCTTGCTTCTGTGTGAATATTTTTAATCATTCTGGCACTGGATTTTATGAATCAGGACAGTAGCATAAACACGGAGAGAGGTTGACAGAGAGATGATCTGGGCCAGTATCAGATCTTAGGGAGTCTAGAAAACCTGTGGGATCGCTATGCCAGCTCTGATGGGTTCCTCTGGAAAGCAATCTAGCAGGGCCCAGTGGCACTCAGAGGTGGTGAGTAGCTACAGCCTTGGCTGGAACTTTTCTTTGCCAACTCCCCACCATCTGAGTAAAAATATAGAGAAAGAAAAAGGGATGGCAATAACTCTCCAAACTCAAGAGTTCCTGCTGCTGCCCTACAGCTTTCCCTTGTATGAGAAAACCTGGTATGTGTCCTTTCACGCTCCTGCCCATTATTAAAGTTGAAATAAAGATAAATGCTATTTTGCAAAGCTGGAAGTATGTTGAATAACATTAAATAAAATGAAATGTGTTACATGACTGTATGTCATGCCCCTGGCATGGGGTTTTATGTGACTTCTCTCCCTCTTCTTGAGGTGGGGGGTGGTGAAACTGCAATTTAGTCAATCTAAGTGAAAACACTAGGATCCCCCCCCCCCCCAGGGAGGGATGGAAGTAATGTAAAACCCCATATGTGGGGGCATGACATAATGTAACATCTTTACTTCTCTGTTCTAAGAGCTTAAGGGAAGATGGATTGTATATACCATTCTAAGAGATCCTATATTTCTCTTCCTGTCACCACTAAACACCAGGATCTGGGTAGCTCCTAAATCCAGTGTTCTATATATAGTCATCCAAAGTACAAAGGTCCATGAGCTCAAGTCGCAGGAGAGGGTTTCAACTCTATAGAATAACATTTGCCACCCAGTTTCATCCCAAATAATGTCCTCACTTTTATTTTAATTCCATTCGTTCTGCTGAAGGTTTCTTGGTTAGCCTTTTTCACTAACTTCCTAATTAATTCACTAACTAATGTCCATTAAACCCTTCCTGTATTCCGAGGACCTTACTCAAAGATGAATGGAAATATGATGTTAGCTTTCATTTATATTGTTGAATACTTAGTATTACATGGTTACTACTTGATATTAAATAGTAAATTCTCTTCAACCCAAAGAATGATATTGATGTATTATTTTTAAGAACACTTCCTGTATCTTGGATTCTTTGTTGAATCTTTTATTTGTCTGATGCATTAATTTCAGCCTGCTGTGGTTTTCTATGGCTGCCTGTGGTCTATGCATATATTGCTTCTGTGTATCCTTAGCTTCCCTCTACCAAGGCCCTCATTTGATTCCTCTCATTGCTTTGCATAATGATGCAAGTCTATGGTAAAAGGAAACTTCATTGAATTTTGTGTCCCACAAAATGTGTTTTAAATGCAAGCTAACTCTTTGATTCTTACACAGGAAAGGTGGAAAATGTTCTAGTAAAGCATTTGGCATACTTTTGGCTTTCAGGTTAAATCTTTCTGATCTTGCTGTTTATAAAGCAGTAGTAGAAAGGATTGTTATTGAATAGTTATCACATCCATCACTAAAATGTAGTAAATTCAGCTCAGTGCAATAAATTACTGTGTTCAAAAGCAACCATTGGGGTCAGATCTATTTTATGGTTTGGAAAATTCCTATTTCCTATGCTGCAGGTGGTAAAGAGTAGCTATTTATTTATTTGGACTTAGTTAAACATTTTGTATGGCCACCAACTTGCAAAATATGACTTTTGGCAGCTCACATCAGATTAAAAAGAAAACAAGATAAACAATAAACGTAACAGAATGACAAGAACAATATAAAATATAAAACAGCACAGAGGCCAAAAGAGCAACATATTCAAAATCCTAAACAATTTTCCAGACAGGCTTACCCAATGTCAGTGTTGTCCAAATTTGGCCATTT